AGCTATTAGCTATGATCCATGATCTACTAGCTATTAGCTATGATCCATGATCTACTAGCTATGATCCATGAGCTATGATCCATGATCCATGATCCATGATCCATGATCCATGAGCTATGATCCATGATCTATGAGCTATGATATATGATCCATGATCCATGAGCTATGATATATGATCCATGATCCATGATATATGATCCATGATCCATGAGCTATGATATATGATCCATGATCTACTAGCTATTAGCTATGATCCATGAGCTATGATCCATGATCTATGAGCTATGATATATGATCCATGATCTATGAGCTATGATATATGATCCATGATCCATGAGCTATGATATATGATCCATGATATATGATCCATGATCTATGATATATGATCCATGATCTACTAGCTATTAGCTATGATCCATGATCCATGATCTACTAGCTATGATCCATGATCCATGAGCTATGATCCATGATCCATGATCCATGATCCATGATCCATGATATATGATCCATGATCCATGAGCTATGATATATGATCCATGAGCTATGATATATGATCCATGATCCATGAGCTATGATATATGATCCATGATCTACTAGCTATTAGCTATGATCCGTGATCTACTAGCTATGATCCATGAGCTATGATCCATGATCCATGAGCTATGATCTATGAGCTATGATCTACAAGCTATGATATATGATCTACGAGCTATGAGCTATGATATATGATCTATGGGCTATGATATATGAGCTATGATATATGATTTATGATGATCCATGAGCTATGATATATGATCTATGAGTTATGATATATGATCCATAAGCTATGAGCTATGATCCATGATCCATGAGCTATGATCTACTAGCTATGAGCTATGATCCATGAGCTATGATCTACTAGCTATGAGCTATGATCCATGAGCTATGATCTACTAGCTATGATCCATGAGCTATGATCCATGAGCTATGATATATGAGCTATGATCCATGAGTTATGATCTATGAGCTATGATCTATGAGCTATGATATATGATCTACGAGCTATGAGCTATGATATATGAGCTATGATACATGATCTATGAGCTGTGATACATGATCTATGATATATGATCTAAAAGCTATGATATATGAGCTATGATATATGAGCTATGATATATGATTTATGATTTATGATGAGCTATGAGTTGTGATATATGATCTATGATCTATGAGCAATGATATATGAGCTATGATATATTATGATCTATGATGATCTATGAGCTATGAGCCACGATCTATGAGCTGTGATATATGAGCTATGAGCCATGATCTATGAGCAGCATTTGATTTCAGGACTGAGAATGACTCAGTTCTGGAGGAGGAAGTGTCTCTAGTGGCCGTCAGAAAGAAAACCACTAGAGGTGGATTTAACCCCACAATGTAAATGTTGCAGTTTATTGCAATTTGTCATGCTAAAAATGACAGTAATATTGCACCCAGACCACTTAATCTTAATAACTTTAGTGATCCTTTAACAAAAGTGATTTATTCGCTAACCCTGTAATGAAATTAAATTGCATAATTCAGGATAAAAAAAAAATGAGAATTTTTCCAAAATCAACTATGACCTAACTATGCAATTCCTTCTCAATTCACCACAATTTCGCGTTTAATTACTAAAAACTTAATATGCGAATTGCCAAGAATTCAAAGTGAAATTGATGTGAATTAAAACATTTTGGCAAAATATCCCGACTGAAAAACGGACTTCAGGAAATGTTCCAGTTTGGTTATTTTTGTCTGAATTTTAAATTCAGTTTTCAATTTACATTGAATTCGCTACAATTCTCATTATGGTGAATGACCTTGTCAGCAAATTGTTTGCCAGTGTCTTACTGCAGTTACCAAACTATCAGGCACAGAACAGACCCTCTGACAAACTCTGAGTACCATTACCAAATTCACAGCGTCAGTGGGTTTGAGGGGAATGAACTTCTGAAGAGACAATGTCTTCAAACAAGGCGTTCCTTGAAAAGTACAGTTTGCTATAAAACCCTAAATTTAGCCATTTGTATTTTATTGGATTTTTGTGTATAATCTGTCATTGGTGCCAAATTTTAGATTTGTTTAATTAGACAAGTGGTTCTTCTAAATCATTCAATTGTCTACCAGTGAGGCTTTCGTGAGCAGCAAGATGCCAACGCGTTTTGAATTGCTGTGTATTGTTTATTTGAATTCCCTTGTAGTGATTGTTCTACTTGCATAAACCTGCAGAAAGTGATGGTTCGTCATAAATAAATCATAATGGGGCGTACATTCCTTGAAGCCCTTCAGCTAACAAACATTTTAAAATCCTTTTCACAACTTGTTAGTAAAGGCAGCCGCATCTTGTAGACAGCTGCAAATGGATTTGAATCAATTTATCTCAGTGCAGACTAAAACCACGTGGGGATTAAAAATGGCATGTTCTGAATTATGGAGGGAATTGGGTCATGAAATAAACTGGTACACCTTTTCTCTGAGTACTTGGGACAAGGTATTGCCTGTAGCCCCTCCCCGGCCCCTCCTCGGAATTTCACCAACTCAGGCACAGAAGTTCACCTCCCAGGGGTACAATCCCAGCTTAGCATACTGAGCTCACTGCCTGATCAGCTGTCAGTGGGAAAATACCAAAATAATGTGTTATGACACAATGTACAGTGATAGAATGTAATATTATACCATTATATAATGCAATAATATGAGATATATAAAGATAGAATGCAATATATACAATATGCAGTGATAGAATGTAATATCATACCATATACAGTGATATAGTGTAATTTAATAAAACATTCTGTGATAGAATGCAATATTATACAATATGTAATGATGACATGCAATATTATACAATATACAGTAATATAATGCAATAATATGAGATATATAATGATTGGATGCAATATTATACAATATACAGTGAGAGAATGTAATATTATACCATGTACCGTGATATAATGCAATATTATACAATGTACAGTGATAATGCAATAATATGAGATATATAATGATAGAATGCAATATTATACAATATAGTGATAGAATGTAATATTATACCATATACAGTGATATAATGCAATAATATGAGAGATATAATGATAACATGCAATAATATACTATATACAGTGATAGAATGCAATATTATACAATATATAATGATAACATGCAATATTATGCAATCTACAGTGATAGAATGCAATAATATACAATATATAATGATAACATGCAATAATATACTATATACAGTGATAGAATGTAATATTTTACAATATATAATGATAACAGGCAATATTATACTATATACAATAATATACTATATACAGTGATATCATTATATATTGTATAATATTACATTCTATCATTATATATCTCATAATATTGCATTCTATCATTATATATCTCACAATATTGCATTCTATCACGGTATATAGTATATTATTGCATGTTATTATTGTATAATATTGCCTGTTATTATATATTGTATAATATTACATTCTAACAGGCAATACTATACAATATACAATAATAACATGCAATAATATACTATATACAGTGATAGAATGCAATATTGTGAGATATATAATGATAGAATGCAATATTGTGAGATATATAATGATAGAATGCAATATTATACAATATACAATGATAGAATTCAATATTATAAACTATTAAATGATAGAATGCTGTGTGACATGCAAACAATGCACAGTTAATAAATATGCAATGATAGAATGCACTATTATAACTTATACACTGACCGATCTACGGTAATTCATTATAACAGAATGTAATATGATAGACAGTACAGTGAGAATTGTTGTGACTACAAAGTGAATTTCAAATTTAAGTTCGAAGTATCAGAACTGGACGCACAGCTGACTCCACTTTTTCCACTTTAGTTATTTTGACTTTAAATTTGAAATTCAGTTTCAATTCACTTGGAATTCTTACTTTAGTAAATAATCCCGTTTAATTATTATACCTTGGGATACATGTTGGCGATGGCGCTGGGATTTGGTCTGAAAGTTAGAGATTGAGTCTAATGTTCCTGATTAGGGTTACACATTAAAGTTTGGGACGGCCCCGGGCCCTAAATATCAACATTACCTTAATTAAAATCCCAAACTCTAACCACAAATCTCAATAACAATCAAAATCTATTCTAAATAGCTTCATAAAAATTTGAAAATTCGTCTGTTTTAATTATTTCTATTGCATGTGTAGCTTATTTAATACGTCATCATTGCTTCCTACAAGTTGGCTTTCACATTACATTTGACTTATTTGTTATGGAATCTCTGCCTTGTCTGCCTGGCTGTCAGTCTCCACGTACTCCTTCAAAAAAATCGTATCAATTAAAAAGCGTCTCAATACTTCCCTTACCTTTTGTCACTTTACCCCAGTCCCTCTAACATTTAAGCTCATTGAGCAGGGCCCTCAACCCCTCTGGTTCTGTTTGTCAAACTTGTCTGGTTACAACTACATGTTTGTTAGTCCACCAATGTACAGCGCTACGGAATTTGTTGGCACTATATAAATAAAATAATAATAGAAATTAATATTTTTATTTTCCTACTTTTTTTAAAATTGCTAAATTCATTATGTTTTATTTTGTCTGATCAACAAATGGACCAGTCTGATGTTATAACTCTCTTATTCATATTTGGGGGTTTACATTATTTTGCAGTTTGAAGATTATTGTAAGAGAAGAAGCTAAGCATATTGTGGACTTTATTAACTAAACAGGCAACAAATGCCCCCAATTCAACTACAGCTCTAGTCACAGTTTGGCTACTTCAGGTTGAATTTAATCGATTTGGTTTTCAACTCTTCACAATTCACTGTTCAGACAATAAACCCTGGAGTAATAGTTAATGGACAGCAGCTACGGTTTAGAAGTGTGGCAACGCTGAGCATATGAAGACATTTAACCCCCAGCCATCTCCCTGGTTTGTGCTGTCTATATCTCAGGAGCTTGTCTATAATCTGGGGGGCAGACAACGAGGTGGACACCCAAACCTGAGAAATACTCCGTGGCACAGACCCACCTGGGCATGTTCTTCAGATAGATTTGGCACATTAGTCGTCAGAGAAGCCACTTGGACAGCCTGCTTCCTGGCAGCTAGGAGGATCCTGCAGTACGTGAAGGAGATGGCTGCTGATGGAAGGAAAAAGGTAAGACAAGAAGCAACCAGGGCATAGGGTAAACTGACCAGCAGACGACATTGCTTCTCCTGGGGCTCAGAGGTCAGGTTCCTGGACTGTATAACAAGGTCCTGTTCATGCCAACCCATCTCAATAGGCAGGAAGGAGGCCAATGCGGCTAAGGTCCAGGTGGCCAAAATCAAGCCGAGTGCTCGACAGGAGGTCATCCTGAGCTTGTACTTGAGAGGGGAGATGATGAGCAGGTACCTGTCCAAGCTGATGACACAGAGGTTAAGGATGGAGGCGCTACAGCACATGACATCAAATGAGTACCAGATACAGCAGAAGTTTACATCCAAGACCCAACGGCCATAGAGTTCATTTAGCATGGCCGGTGGCATCACCACCAGTCCCACCATGAGGTCCGACATGAAGAGGGATACCAGGAAATAGTTAGAGGTGTTCCTCAATGACCTCTGGGTGAAGATGAGGAGAATCAGCAAGGTGTTCCCCAAGGTGGTGAGAAAAATGATCAAACACAGGAAGGTGGCCATCCAGACATTCCGTCCATGTGGATGAGAAGACCCTTCCCATCCCTTCCCATACTGTCTACCCCATTGTTCATCCATCCCCTGCTTGAGGAAGGGTTCTCCTACTGGCAAGAGCCCATTGTGGGTCTCCCATGTGTCTGTTTTATCTCCTCCATGTGTCTCTCCTCCATCACGTCTGCTTTACTTTCACTCATTCATCCAAGTAAGCCCCTCTCTCAGACCTTTTCTGCCTTTGTCATCTCATTATTTCCAGCCTCCTTGATGCTTGCTGCTACCCCCCACCCACCCCCCTCTTAAGCAAAGCCTCCTCTTGTGAGTCTATTAATAATCTGCTACTATGATTCAGGTCTCATTTGCTTTTCCTCTCGTTCTTTCTTTCTGCTGTCCATCTCCATCTAAGTCAGTAGCCCTCTCCTCCCCCTGAGCTCGTCGATCCTGGATCCGCTCCCCATCTCAGAGGCTCTGAACACATCTCGTAGACATGACTTGGAATCACATGGGGAGGTTTCCTGACACTGAAAAAAAATATCATCTGTAACAGAGCAGCGAGGGCATTGGAGAATGGCAGGGGTGCAACCAGGGGGCCCAACAGCCCTTCCAAATCTGACACCCCCCAATAATATACTAGAAGGAGAGAAAGAGACACAGAAAGAAGAGACTGATGGATAGACGAGAGAGAGAGAGAGAGAGAGAGAGAGAGAGAGAGAGAGAGAGAGAAAAAAAAAATACTTTTTTTTTTTACTTTTAAAATTACTTTATTGATAAGATTATCTATCAACAAATTAAAAAATCTAAAATATTATCCTGTAAGAAAGAAAGAAAGACTTTGTGATTTGAAGGTCTGCTAGCATCTAGTGTAACTTTTAAAACCATTACCAGATCACTGTTTGGTGAATAAGCCCCATTCTCTCTACTCTCAGTATGCCATGTCTATATTGTGATCACTTTCTGCTATTTCAGTGTTTATGTCATATGTATTGCTGATGGCAGTAACTTTAACTCTATGAATTCAGGAGGGAGATAAATAGATATTAAATGACCCTGATTTTATTTCATTGTTTATAGTATACGATTCCCTCTATTGGGAATTATTCTACCAGTTTTAACCCCAGACCTTAATAATAATTGACACTAATTAAGATTATCAGTGCATTTTCGAACAGAAACACAACCCCACCCGTAGGTATCTCTTAATTAGATTTTTAATTATCCGCTAAAAGACTGCATTAACCTCACGTGTGACAGTTCGGATTTAAAATTCATATTCATTAAATGTAATTTTGATAAGCTTTTTCTATTTTTAACCAAAGCTGTCCTAATTTGCAAAACCACCTCTGCTGGGAAGATATTCCATTCACCTACTACTTTTTCTGTAATCTGTTTCTGACATTACCCCTAAATGTAACTCCCTCCCCCTGCTAGTTATGTCTGTTTGTTACACCTTATTAAATCCCTTAGGGCTTAGGAGGTCAGTAAATTTTTATCACCCCCCGTTTCCCTGCTCCTGCTGTACATACATAGGGTCTCAGCCAGCGTTCTCGTATCTGTTCTCCGAATTGTCCGTACTGTATGTACAGTATGTGTTTCCAAGGGTAAGTAGCTTCAATCACTGAACTGCAAATTGTAGTGAACTGAAACTGATTTAGGGTAAAATGTCTGCAGAAATATCTATTACGCTGTGACAAGAGATGATTAGGAGAATATTTACAAATTAGCTATTTGTCTACATTTTGCAGTTTGGTTTTCAGTTCACTGGAATTCCCTGTTTAGTATATAAACCCTGGTCTCCCTCCACAATTCCTACAGATCTACACGTTTGCCACCCTGTATCGAGGAGGGCGAAGAATTGGCGATTTTTCCTGTGCGGTTTGGATCTTTGGCTGACATCAACCCACATTTTTCCAGCACAGAGGAAACTAATGCAAGCGATTAATTAACACAGTTTCCAGCTCTCCCCAGCAGAACGAATAAATATACCGGATAACTGGCTCAGCCGCAGCCTCCAACGTAATAATATGTTTAACTCGCTAAGTGCAAAAACTCGATGCAACAAATTGTCCGTTAAGCACTCTGTAACGCTAACACGAGGGATCTTCATTAAGAGAAATTCTGGGTAAACATTATAGAATTGGAGCAATCTCATCCCGAAACCAGTTTATCTCCAATTTATTAACTTTGACCCAGAAATCTTTCTTAATCCCTCCGTAGTGAACTAATGGATAAAATATTCTATGAAATGAACATAGAGATCGACTAATATATTACACAAATGATATTTCAATCAGTCACATTGACGTTTTAGTAAATAGGACAGGATCCCTTTAGGATGGTGACGCGTTAGGGGAACATGATGGCTCATGTGAGAATCTTCAATGTTTACGGTTTGGAGCTGGCCAGAGTGCTGAACATTTAAAAAAATAAACTTTCTAAAATCTGTGAGAAACACAACTAACAAATCTCTCTGCCAGCCTGGACGCCAACCTGTGATAATCCTGATGGAAGGTGGACTTGTAGCGGCCTTGTCATGTTTATAGATATAATCATTGTGACTGCGCTGGAATTTCAATGAGTATCCAACCAATTCATCGATATAATAAGATAACGTAGAGTCAATAGCAAGACTGACACAACTAGACAGAAAGCAGAGCAGGGTCTGTCCGTTCCTCTCTAATCCCCCTCTACACAGAGGGTGAAGCTTACAACAATGACTGACAGGAGCTAGCATGGAGGCCCCCAATTTAAGGTTAGAGGTAACAGTGCAGTGGTGTGAATTTCTACATTTAATTTTCCACATCTCACTCGAAGATATAAAGAAAAATGGGAAAGCATCACCGACAAAGTCTTCACCAACGCACAATGGGACAAAATTCTCATCCTTCATCACAAATCTACGATTAGCTCAAAATACCAAGAAATGAACTATAAGCTATTGACATTTTGGTACAGAACCCCAGACCTACTCCACAGAATATTCCCCAACACCTTGGCGACCTGTTGGAGATGCGAGACAGATATCGGAACACTAAAACATATCTGGTGGGACTGCCCCAACATCAAACCGTTCTGGAACCAGATTACGGCTCGCATTAAAGACGTACTAGGGGACACGACACAATTGTCAATAGACAACACTCTCCTGCTTCACACTAAAGACACGATCTCAAAATACAAACGATCCATCCTACGACACCTTCTCGACGCGGCCAAGGCTCTAATCCCTACCCTATGGAAAACGACAAATGCCCCTACAATGGAGCAATGGCTAAGCAGGGTAGAAGAGATCAGATTCGCAGAAGAAATGCACGCGACCATACGAGACACCCTCACGAAACACGTTGACAAATGGCAACCTTGGATAATGTACGTGGCAAGACGAGATGAGAGGGACGCGGCGGACGGGGAAGGGAGCTAGGGGGGTCCCCCCCCCACCTTTCCCTCCCCCAAACAAATCACACACACACTACAACCACAACACTCACAGGATCTACACACCACCAACACACAGCCGCCCCACGAACGCAACCAATGAGGCCACAGGACGTAGCAGCGTACTGTACTCGCAACAACCTCCCGAACCCGATGAACAACACCATACGGACCTCCCATAGAACCCAAGCCACCACAGCCGACTCATGCACCAACACCCAAGATGGGGATAGACAACAGGAGACCCCTGAGCGAACCACACACACGATCACTCTAGAGACCGAAAATCCTGATCCTAGAGCCACGATCCCACACTCCATGAGACCCACATCGCACATACAAACAACCCAGCTGACTAACTTACGCAAGGCTAGGACACAAGGCACAGGGAGGGAGGGAGGGAAAACAACATAAGTGGGATGGACCTGGGAGTCCACCACACAATGAAAACAGACGCCACTCATACCAGCCAAGCACGACCGCATGATACCCATGCCACTAGAGTTACCTCTACATCCTACTTACTGTTCATCCAAAAAAACACATTACGCAGATAACAGTCTATAAAGGAATACGAATTTAGGACCCGACACCTCGAAACCCTTGGGATCCACTGACATACGTACTCACATGGATATAACACATATAAAATTAATACCAACCTTAGCAAAACTAGCATAGGGCCTACGTAACCCACTCGACCTATACCACGAAAGCATATCACAACCAGATGATCCTAAACAAACAATAACAGAGCATCCCAACTGAGTACACCGATTCTCCACATAAGAATATCGACCTCTATTAGGACCTACGAGTCCATTATGTCTCTACCATCAGATCTCATACGTGACCTGCGTGTCACCACACTATGTTAAGATGCACTATGTCTCATTTAGTTAAACGAACACACAATATTCATATGGGACCTGTGAGTTCCTACTGTTTGTTTTTCTTCTCTCGAAGTAACGTTGAAAATTATTCCATAAAAATGTTTACAAATAGAAAAAAAAAATAATAAATAAATAAAAGTGAGAGAAAGGGAAACTATACGTGCCATGCTGTGACCTGCGTGTCACCAACGTATAACTGGCTGAACAACGCTTCCCAAAATGATAGTTAATGTTTCACACTGACGGGACCTGCGTGTCCTAACTGAAGCTTGCTCAAAGATATATGACAAATTGAAAACTTGAAAACCTCAATAAAAATATATTTACAATAATTTTCCACATCTCATAAATACACATTTTATTAAATATAATGGATTACTAAACAGATTAATAAAACTTTAAAATACTTTTTTTTTTACTCTATAATTAAAGAACTGCCCCCCAAAGTTAATGAAAAATGAAAACTCATTTTTTTGGTAATTAAACTAAGATTGTAGGAAAAAGCCAAAAAATGCCTTGCTAGGTTTTTAAAACACAAATATTTAAATTAAAGAAACAGTAACGCTCCATCTTCAGCTCAGTGTATCAGAAAGAGCACATTTGGAGATATTTAAACATTTCAAATCTTCATTATTTTGGTTTGTAATTTCTCCAGTAAGATTGCATTTTATAGCAGCTCGATAATGGTCGCCATTCGTATAACAGCAATGACAAAAAAGCCCCCGGCTTCAGAGGCCCCTTTGGAGGAGACCACAGGAA